GTGTGTGTGTGTGTGTGTGTGTGTGTGTGTGTGTGTGTGTGTGTGTGCGTGCCACTATCTCAACATTGAAATGACTGCTTCCCATTTCAGATGATAACAGTTGGCATTTACCGCTGTAGGTGTGTCATTGTAAGTTATTGGAAGCAAACAATGTTAGGCAAAATGGTGGGAATGATTGGTCCATCCAAATTACAAAAAAACATAAACATATTTTGAAATATGTTTTTTGTATTTTGTCTGAACTCACCGCTTACCATCAGGACTGTAAAATGAGCACGTGTAAAGCAGACGACATCCTTCAGACTTACCGCTGCATTCCTCCTGCTGCGCCGTGTCTTTCATGTGTGACAGCAGGAAGGTTTCTTTAATGGCACCACACAGGCTGGTTATGCTTCGTAGTCAGGCTCCTCGGCCACATTCTCGTTAACGTTGCATTCTGCAGTGAGTGTGCAGCATTTGTTATTGACACGGCAAGCCTTCAGATGCTTTGGTGCCAGTGGGGAGGAGAAACCACACATAATTATAGTGTAATGGCAGTGCTGGTGTTTAATTGTCGGCTTTCTCTGATAGTGTGTTCATAGTGTGCTGCTCCAGGGTAAGATCTACACACAATACCTGTTCGATATTCCCAATATACTTGTTCCATGGATAATTGAAGATGCACGCTATTTACATAAGTCTGGTTTGGACACACCAATCCTGTCAATGAGCTTGAGACTGATATGAAAATATGTCCAAAACACACTTAATCTGTGGCAGCATGTTGCAGCAGATTACTTATGCCAGAGTACTTAACAACTGTCTAAAATGTCCTCATCAAACGTTTCACATATCACATCAAATTGTTGGATATTCTGAGCTGTTACTGTGATGAAAACTGATCCCGTTTACATCAGAGACAGCCGTTATGTTCTCAACCGCTCCGTGCGAGGAACTGTCAAGAGGTGTGCAGTTGATTAAAATTGTACCCGTGGGATTATTGAGTTGGTATACCAAGTACTTATGGGGTCAACTGAGCAAAAGCTTAGCTCAATAATCTTTAATTCTCTCTCTGATTGGCTTTTCTTGGCACTTTCTACACACGACAGAGCTCCTATTATTTTAGCGCCGCTTAAATTTACCGTGAAAAGCTTCTTTTCGCATGTTTGATATTGAAATAAATAATTATGAACCGTATTAAAATTGCCTAAACCTCTGTATGTAATTCAACATTAAGGTGTAACCAAATGCAGCAATATATTTGTTTATGTTTTTTTCAAAACTGAGGTAACCGATACTCCACTTCATTCGAAGAGGCTTCACTCTGTTTTGTTGTCATCTTGTGACAGTGTGAAAAGTTAAATTAGGAAAAAGGCACTTTTGGCTGTTTACAGCCAGTGACTCATCCCATAGCCAATCAGTTATTTAAAAAAAGCAGTTAGTTAGTTCTGCTTAATCTGTTGTTCCTTTAGGCTTTGAGCAGTATGAAAGCCGCTGTTGCTGGCTCTGACCTCCTTTCCTGCTCTTCTGGAAGAGAGCGAGGGGAGGAGGTGGGCAGCAGGGGAAAATAAATGTCCTGCTGGGGAGCCCAGCCAACATTCCTACATCACTTCCTCCTCCAACATCTGGCAATGATCAGGGCGGGCAGAGAGAGAGAGAGAGAGAGAGAGAGAGAGGACGTATCTCCCTGGTTGGCTGAGTGTTCATTTCCAGGAGTAGACGGAGAGGCATCGCATTGCAAGACCGCCCACTCAACTTCATTCCCCCTCCCAGCGAAACCAAGCAAGATGGAGTGTTCTCATTCTGTGCATCTCCACCAATGTTTACACTTAGTCTATAATACTACTCTCCGCCCTTATTGTCTCATATATTCTTTCATACATCTCGGCTATTTGTGTCACGTTGCAAAGAAATACATGTTATGTTTTTGCCTGCTTCTGTGAATATAAATGAAAGAAAATCTTTTCCTCTCTTCTCCTTCCTCAGGATGGCCTAGCCGTGTTGTGTTGCCAGCAGTTGATCAGCAGTGACCTACCTGGACCACAGGTGTGTAATAGAACTCGCTACTTTATTTTACAATTTTTACAACAACTTACTTGCATGTACATTGCCTCTAAGATAAGGCAACATGATGGTCTTCAAACCTTAGGGCCATGTTTGCAAATACTAAAAAATGTCTCTTCTAGAAATACTATTATTGAATTGACTTTTGCATATTGCGAGGTTGACTCTGATAATGGACCAACACTGGGATGAGTTATACTCTTTTAACCAGACAATATGCAGACAAATACATGATCTCCTTTTACTTGTTTCAGAAGAGAGACTTCCTTTTATATTTGAATTCCTCCTTATCACAGCACTGTGTGTGTGTTTGGACTTAATTGGTTCAACAAAGCAAGCGGTCCTGCTGTTATTTTATAGGTTATCTTCATCCATTAAACTGTTTCAGTATTTCAGTAGATGTGAGTTTGTTTAGATGATGACAGAGCAATTTGAATTCTGAGCATGAAGATCATTAACAGAACTGTTCAACGCTGTTTATTAAACTGCAGATTAGCTGATTCACTGCTCAGAGGCAGCAGCAGGTTGCAGAGATGAGTGTGACCTCGTGGTTCCTGGTGAGCAGCGGGGGTACTCGCCACCGACTCCCCCGGGAAATGATCTTTGTGGGCCGGGATGACTGCGAGCTCATGCTACAGGTGACAACACTTTATTTCTCGACTGACAGCGGTTTAAATACACCAGAGTGGGCGAAGTGTGTTTGTTGTATTTTCGCTGTCGAAGTTGCTGTCTTCATTAAAGAAGAAACGCAGTCTGATAACAGTTTGAGTCTCAGTAAGTTACCAGGTCCTAAGATAGTATGATAACCAGATAACACACAGAGCCTGACACTCATGTGAGGCGCTCATTTCAGTCATATAAATAACCTGCTGATCTCACAGCAGTCTGTTACATCAGCTAACTGTTTACTCTGAGTACTATTAGCCCTCAATGCTGTTGCTCTTGCAGTAGCAGAAACTGTTTCTACATTATCATACTAGTGTGTGTATGTACTGTGTGTGTGTGTGTGTGTGTGTGTGTGTACTGCGGTGGTGTCTGTGCAGCTGTGTATACATCCAGGGAGACCATGTATATGCTTGCCCTTGTTTACCTCTAGTCACTGCACTATTAATAGAAAGTGGGGCAGATACCTCCTGAGTTAGATCTTATCTGAGTGAGTGGGTTGTAGTGTGTAGAGGGAGCATCCATGGCAGCGGTCTCTCTTATGACAACATATTTTAGAGAAGTTGTCTGTCTGAACGTCTGAGTGTCAAGGAGACATTCAGGACTCTCTCTGATGTGTATTCATTTTTACTGTGTTGGTTGAAATCAGCCTCACTTTTCAGATTGGCCTATCCATCTAATGAGATCACTGTTTTTAATATTACCACATTTAAATTAGAGTTGTTTCTAAGATTCTAGAAAAATAAGTATTGTAGAATTAGTATAGTAGAATTATTATTAGCTGAAACAAATGATGCTCTATGCCTTCTCGATATAAGTAAGTGCTATTGGTGGTATTGATCCTTACAGTATCAAATCCAAACTTATAGAATTGTAATTCATTCATGGGGTTTCTGGGTTGTAGAGGCTGAATCATAAAACAGACCTATAAAATCTGTACTTCATTTGTGGATGAACAATAGCTAATGACTGAATAAATTCATTTTCACTTGTGAAGTTTTTGAGCTTTAAGCTATTCATCGGTAAAACTGAGTTGAACCTAAAAATAGTCAGTGTGGTCTCTAATTTTTATAAATTTGGATTAAAGTGTAAAGTATTATTTGGTGGTTATAGAGTTTATGTTTTGCTGTTGAATTTCATGAATAGACCGAGACTCTAACTATAAAGGTGAGAGGGTTTTATGTTTTGATGTTCCGGTCGAAATGAGAATTTGACTGCATTTGATTTGAAGTTTTTAAAATATACTGAAACACTACTTCTATGCATTCTACAAATATCACTTAGACGTGTACTTATACATACAACTTGAGAAGTACTCTCTGTTCTGCAGCTGTTGATTGTGTCACGAAACCTCCAGTTGTCATAGACTTACAGATGTTCACAAGGTCAAGAATACACTTTCAGTGAGAAATACTACTTTATTTATGAATACATTTCACAGTTATAGACAGCAGCAGTGTGTCTTAAGTTGACCTTTCAGTTTTCTGATTGCTGAGTTTGTATTAGTTCGCCTGCTGACCTAAATCCTCTCACAGTCCAGCTCTGTGATGAGGAAACGTTAAAAGAGAAGTAATAAATTGTCTTAAAATTGTGTGTAATGTGTCTCAGTCAACTGCTCCTGCATGTGTCTGAATTTGTTATTGTATTCAGATCCTTGTGATGTCTTTATAATGATAGAAAGATTGGGGAAATCTTACAAATTGAAGACATTTCTTGGCATTTTTGTGTTTGTGTGCTACTTTGTGTAGCTGATGAGTTGTCCTCCATGTGACTGCTTTACAGAGCCAAGGCCTGATCACATGGCTAAACGTTAGCTTGTGTCATGAACCAAGTAAAACACACACACACACTCACAGACAGAATATCAAATATAAAATGACTGTATGATGACAGAATTATCACTCTGTTACTCACTACAAGCTCTTTCCTCATGATCAGATCTAGATTCTTACTTTATTTATGTATTGAAAAGGGGAAGCAGTGTAATAAATACACGAACACAGTTTCCATGATGTCAGCCTAAATCAAATAATAGTCAGTGAGGCTATTAAAGCTCTTTCTGTCTCTCAGAATTATTCCCTCTGGCTCCTATAGCTCAACTCATCTGCAGTGTGTGTGTGTGTGTGTGTGTGTGTGTGTTTCTTCTTTCCTTGATGAATCAGATTCGCCTCATGACTTTATCTCTTCCTCTTCTTGTTATCATTTCATCTCCTTCTCTTTCACTCCATGCGCAAAATGAACACAACTGAGCTACTCCACATCTGTATTCTCAGTTGCTTCGGCACATATTCGCTTGGTCAGCAGTTTATCCGTGTGTAACAGCATGAGTCTGCTCTATCCTGCGGTGTGAGGTACAACAAGCAGCTCAGTCCGTTTCTATCCTGTTTGATCGAGGCTAATCTCACTAAGGTGATCTGTTGGAGGGTTGGCTCTTCCCTTTGCTTTACTACAGATGAGATTTTTACTTTAGCGTGAGGGTGCAGTCTGAGAATATATATGAGATCCAGCTCCCAGTCAGAACGGGCTGACTTCAGCACAATAATCTAATTCTTGCAAATGACTAATATTCTGGTTTTCATCTTTTTTTATTTTCACTCCCATGTTGTAAAAAGTGTATTTATGAATAATGAGTGAGACAAAGTGGCTCAGTTGCACTTCAGCACCGGTAATGGATTTGTGAGATGGACCTTGTGTTAATACATATTTGCATGTTTGTCAGATATTATCACTGTGTTTGGTCACCACTGGGGGAAAAAAAAAAGACGGCTGGAATTTTTTGTCACCCCAAATTATGAGCAAATCACAGAGAAATGTTGTACCTTACAGTAAAACATCTGGCAAGCTGCTGCAAACACAGCAAACTTTTGAATCAAATATGAAAGCAAACAGTTCCAGGACAAGGTTTCCTTTGTTTCTTGTATTTTATGATGTGCCTTATCTGAAGGGCGTTCTAACAGACATTTGGAGACCGCAGCAAATTTTCTCATCAGTCAATGTCAGTGCATACCTGAGAGGGATATTTGCCAAATTCCAGAATATATGTCTATCTGAGTCTACCATTCACCATACAGAAGGTTGTAATGTTGGTGCTGTTTGTGTGTGTGTGTGTGTGTGTGTACAGCTGTGGAAGTGTCGATATGTTGTGTGCAGTGTCAGAGACATTGAAATACCTTCTCATATGCTTCAAGTTGATATTACAGTAGATATCATGCATAGTGACATTGAGGCTCACTATCATAGATTCTTGGCATTGGATGCTCATACCTGCATAAAGATGTAACATAGCACAGTCTGCTCCAGTCACACACAGCCCTCTAATGGTGTGTGTAAGAAACAGATGCTATTCTGCAGTTCACAGTCAGGCTTACACTCTTGTAAAGATGTGAAGACATTTTGAAGAAGAGCACTACAGATGAAGAGTTCCCACTGGGTTAATTCTTCATGTTTGTGTATGTTTTCGTTTTGTAGTCCCGCAGTGTGGATAAGCAGCATGCAGTCATCAACTTCGAGGCTGGGACAGACGAACACAAGGTCAAGGACCTGGGCAGCCTGAATGGGGTGAGTTCACAGATGGAAATATGCAAAACGGAGAGAGGGAGGGCAGGACAAAGGTAAAAGGACAGGAGAGAACAAAGGGGGAGAGATAAGAGAATAAGCTCAACCAGCTGAAGGAGGAGTAAAGGGGTTTGGAGGAAGACGGAGAAGGACTGCAAAGATAGAAATAAAGAGATACAGAGGAAAACAAAAGAAGACATTCAAGGTAAAAGTAGAGGGAGCTGAGGTCCTGAAGGGTTAGAGGTTAACCTGTTTTGTTTAGCAATCAATAGGACCTTTTATTTTACTGCTGCTAATCAATCTCCCTGTCAATAAGGATTTGTATCAGGACTGAGGTCAATAGGAATCGAATCCTAATTATGCAAATTACAACATAAGGGCTCAATCTGTGATCCTAATATAAACAAAGGGCAATTTAAACTCCATGGCTATCACTCCCATATTTTCTCATGATTTTGGAAAATGTGGTTTCTGCTGATAATTGCAGGAAATAATTTTTTTAAATCAGTGTTAGGAGTCAGTGTGTAGAGAAACACACCGTAAAGTCTCTGGTGGCTGCTAAAAGGTATTTTAGAAAACATAGTAAATTGCTTTTTGGGGATAGATGATATAAAACTTGCCACATGCAGTTAGTCATGTGTAGTGATTAACACTCAGCCTCACATCCTCTCCAGCTATCAGACAGGAAGTCAGAGTCAGAGCCACTTCCTGCTGTGTCATGAACCATCCAGCTTCTTTGGCTGGATTCAGAGGAAGTTTTCTTCTGTTGAGTCAGTGGATATATATACAGATTTGCCACAATGCTGATTTAAAAAGCTGTGTTTGGGCAGTGTCACCATTTACTATGTTACTGAAGGTGTCTCACTGCTGCTTTGTAGAGCTGTCATGAACTCATCTCACTAGAGAGGACGCAGGAATGTTTTATTACAACAACAGTGCAAGAATGATAGAATTTCATTTGCAGTTCAGTGAAACCTGATATCTCAGAGCTGCACAGTAGAAAGAGGGGGGGGAAAGGGGGAGTCGGAGTGGGAGAAAAGAAAGATGGTGAAGAAAACGGTCAGGGAAAGAAATGGATTGTCATACTTAGGCCTTTACTTCTGGCTGTACAGACTGATCTCTTGTTAAGAGATACCAGGATTAGCTGATTCAACTGTTGGCAGAATGCATACTATTACTCACAGTAAACTCACGTGTCTGGCAATGAGAATACTGTTATAGCTTCAAAAACCCTAAAACTAGAAAAGAAATATCTGAGTAACACATGTTCCAGCTTCTCAAATGTGAGTTTTTCTCTGTTTTTCTTGTCATATATGAGATTAAAGTGATTATCCTTGAGGTTTGGATTGTTGAGAATATCCCTGTGGAAATCTGTTGAAACTATTCTTGTCATTTTTAACAATTTTCTATCTCATAGACAAAACCATCAACTGAGACAATAATTGGCAGATTAATCGTTGTTAGCTGCAACTCTAATTTCCACAGACGCTGCAACGTGTGATTTAACTGTGGACCAGCTTAATCAGATGCCTTTTTGTGGTGTTATCTTCCTTACTGTTACATTTTATTCACATTAGCATTTTGGTTTTTCCTTCCCTCTGCAGACGTTTGTAAATGATGTCCGCATTCAGGAGCAGATGTACATCACTCTGAAGTTGGAGGACAAGCTGAGGTTTGGATATGATATCCTTTCACTTGTCTGATCTTTTAACCCCTTCAGCCCTCACACATCCACCAGTGGGTTAATCGTTCCACAGAAATATTGAGCAGCAAAGCATTTTTCAAGCCTAGATAGTATTATATAAATTATTACCGAAGATGCCAACTTTTTTTTACTGTGAACTATTTGATGACAGTCAATTGTTTCGTGCATTACTGTGTCTAAAGTTTGTGTGCGTGTGCTATTGTGGCCAATATTTCCTTAACACGTCAGTTTCACATACCAACCTGTTCACGGTGGTGAGAGGAGAGCTCACTGTGCCTGAAGAGGCTCTAAAGGTAAGAACACACGCACACACACTAACATAGCCTGTGCTCTAACACACTGTACAATATCTATGTTTACAATGATACAGAGTTGTATTATACTACTAAATCGCAAAGTACTTTTTCTTCTCTTCACCTTCTTTTAGCATGAAAAGTTCACCAGCGGCCTCCAGCTCAGCAAGAAGCCGTCCAACGGTGAAACCACTACCACCACTACCACCACCACCACCACCACAAGCAAGTCCCCCGCTAAGACCCCAACAAAGACGCTGAAGTCCCCCAGTGGCAGCAACCCAAGGCCAGGGGAGAGTAGAGCAACAGACGGGGTCACTTCCTCCAAAGAGCCTCCAGCTAAACCTGTGGACCCTCACAAAGCTGAGGAAAAGATACCAGGTGAGAGACAAATCTTGGTGAAAATTAAAGCTCAGGGACACTTTGGCACAGGACTCGCAGCAGCCAAGCATTGAACGGAAGATCGACCCTCACCTATCCTATGATAGGAGTCACGGCTGCCCCTAAAATCTTTGGCCAGTACGGGTATCAAACCCGCAACCTTGGCTTTATTAGCACCACGCTCTAACCAGCTGAGCCAACTGGCCATTTCTTCCTGCTTATTAGCCTATGGAAACAGTTTAAACAATATACTAAGACCAAGAATTTCAATTTGATGTGTTGTGAATTTCTGCAACTTGAAGAGAACATGTTTCTGTGTCCTGCATCCTTTTACTGTGGGTGTACATTTCACGGTCCACTGTTGTGCAACATTTCAAGTTACATCACATATGTATATTTTAAGAGGTGTTTAAGCATTTTAGAAAACACATTTTCAGACAGATTATGATTAAGTGAAACTAAGTGGGGTGGGGTTTTATCTCAGGCCAGTAGGGGGTGGATATAGTCAGCAGGGAGTGGGCTTTAACCACCACACCAGCATGCAGCCAGTCCGTTTCAACATAAAGGTCTGAGGGCGTCCCTAACAATTGACATCACGATCCAGGCTGGGGTGCTAGCAGGGGTCCCGGTTAAGCCCCCGATGTTGAAACAAGGCCACATGGGGTTTGTGTTATTGCACAGATTAAGCAGTAACAGGGTCAGAGGGCCTGCATAATGTAAACCCATATGCCAGCACTACTTTTCTTAAAATTAAGTAACATTCACAGGCACGCATGTACATTTGCAAATTTGTAAAAAGAAATATGCCAACACGCACGTACGGTGTTGCATGTCTTCCCCATCTGCTGCTCATGTTTTTAATGATACCCTCTCTGCGGTTCTATGGATGTAATCTTGCTGTGTTAGTACTGTAGAACCAGGCCTCACCCAGACATTATACCTCATAGTGGGCACACATTCAGTAGCTTTTATAGAGAAGGCCCCTTCTTACTGAACGCAATTAGGCACACAGCATCTGTAATTATCTGCACATACTGTGCTTGAATGTACATAGCTTAGGATAAGGGATATTAAAGTAAAGGAAGAGAATAGAGCAGGAAGAAGTTAACACATGAGGAGACTTCCTGTGGTATAGCAGTGTAAGCTACAACATAGCTGATTCAAATTGCCTGTTTTTCCCGTCTCTTTCAACTATGTTTCCTGTCACTTCTCTACTCTGGTGTCCAGTTAAAAAAAAGAAGTTACCGCAGGATGCTTGTCCCTTTTCAGCTTTAATTGTAATTGGGAAAGAGAGACAAACGGAAAGTCCCTCTTTCATTTGAACGACGTGAGTCTGAGAGAGCGAGAGAGCGAGAGCATGATAAGGAGTGTGCACGTGTGTGTGTCCATCCTGCTGGCTAAAGTTCTTAAAATAGGTCAGTGGTGCAAGACTCGACCAGAGGGGAATTAATGCACCAACACACACATACACAAAGAGCAGCTGGGTTCACTTTGTGTCATCCTGATACAATAAACAGCTTATTTTGACACTACCAGAGTATGTACTTAATAAACATGTTTAACATGACAAACCCCAGTTAAAGCTACTTTAAAATGTGCACAGGCTTTGTTAAAATGTGTCTGCATCTGTCTCAGGGGATGCTGCAGCGCTGCCTCGTGGGACCCCGCTGTACGGCCAGCCGTCTTGGTGGGGGGATGGGGATGCAGATGACGAGAACTCCTTCAAACAGGAACTCAAGTCATCCAACAAAAAACACGAGAGCTCCGTTTCAGGTAGGAGGTATTCCGAACTTCTAACTACCATCACACACATCATCTCCTCATCACAATAATTCAAACATGCAGTGCAGGAAATGATGGATACAAGGGTTTGAAGTTAATGTTTTAAACGGATATATATTATATTGCCAAAACATCAGTGGTGTAAATGGAAGAAAGCTGGTTGATTGTTAAATGATGCCGCTGTATTTGTCACTTTTTACCATTGGTAAGTTAAATGTATGTAAGAGTTAGACACTGTAAAAAAACACAACAAAATAGTTCCTATATGAATATACCAAACAATTTTGTGTATTTTGTCTTACATGACAGTTCGGGCTGCACAATATATTTTTTTATCGTCATCGCAATGTCATCACACATCGCAAAAACTGCAATGTTGCATTTTCAATATAGTAACAATGTATTGTATTACATTCTGTATGTTGTGTGATACAGGCTGTTAAACACTTTGAGCCCTCGCCGTTGGGCATCGTCTGATTGGTCAGAATCTGCACGCATGCGAGTGAGGTTTATCATAGTAGTGCTGCCACACTACTCTGCATGGTTGAAGGAGGAACGTGTGACAAGATCAGTGCAGACAAAGGTGCCAGAGAGTTGTGATGAATAAGTTGTTTTTAAGTTATTGTTTTGAATGTGTATTGTGAACATCCAGATGCTCTGGCATTTTTTTCAATCAGTTGAAAACTGCACTTAAAATGTAACTATATGTTATTTTGTAATGGTGCATTTTGTGTTCAGTTCAATGTTCTATTTGTTCAATGACAGACTTCTGGATATATTTTCCCTCATACATATATTTCATACTGAAAGCAGCAGAAAAGGAAAAACGACTCCACTTCTCTCAAGTGATATTGTTATTGTGACAACGTTATTGCACTCTGCATTTTCCTCATATGATGCAGCCCTTATGACGATGGCCACAAGACACCGATTTCATACAGAATTTGATGTAATTCTGACGTCTTTAATGCTATTGGAGCCATGTATTGTGTGATAAATCAGTAAAAAAAAAAGCACATCAGCACTTCTTTTTATTTGTATTTTCAGCAAAAAGAAAAAATGTAGTTGTGCAGTAGGTATTACTGTACAAACAGGATGCTATTGATAGCCCACAGATGAAATGCAATACTAAATTGAGTCGTGCAGTGCAAATGATTATATCTCAGTGTTGAAACAGTAGCTTGATCTTAATGCCCTCTAGTTCTGTTTACTTGCTCTGTGTTGGGGTAATGGCCAGCCCGACTCTGTGTCTGTGCACGTAACAATGTATATCTAAGTGCACACAAAGGCTTTTTTCAGAGCCTGTATGTATGTATGTATGTATGTCTGTTTGTTCACAATACGTCCCTGTATTGTGACCGTTGGACTGGGGGGGATCCCGTGAACTGCTGCTGGATACTCAGAGTAACAGGATTAGAGGCTACACCAATGTTGAAACAGCTCAGCGACACGAAATCAGTCTGTGCCAGGCTGGTTTAGTGTGGACCAGTGTAGTCAGAAGGAGTGGGGGGAGGTTAATCAGACACAAACGTTGGAGCAGACTGAAGCATCCTCAAATCTCTCGCCACATCTGGATGGATAGTCTGGGAGCATCTTCACCAGCCTATGAAGGAATCCTTCCTTTGATTTAACAATCAGTTAAATCATTTCTGTGCTTCACCACCTAGATTCTGCTGTGGATTTTACCAAAGTATTTTGCTGTTGGAATAAGATTAGAAAAGACTGTAATTTTGGAGTAAATCTGTGAAAGCGTGGCAGGGTGATTTGAAACCCTAAAAGCTTTCCAAAGAAATTAGGCGAATGGGATTGGCTCCGTCAGCCATGGAAGTGGGTGAGTTGAAGGCACTTTGCCCTCTTGGAACGTTGACTTTTTGACTGAGTGCTGAATAGATGTTTTGACGTTGGATTTGTGGCGTGAGGCCAGCAGCACGCTCCCCAGGGGGTGTTGCACAGTGCATTTATGTAGGTTACATGGATCTCAGCATCAAAAGAAGACCTTATCAGTGTGCATGTCTTTAAAAAGTGTGAGCACGACCTCTGAATGTGCTCTGATTAACACCAGATATACAGTAGCCGTGAAGGGGAAGTGAAAGAGAGGTTTCTGTGGTTTCTGTTTGAGTGTTTTTTTGTTTTGTTTCACGCATGTGAATGACAGTGGAGTTTCGTGTGTGTGTGTGTCCTTTTCTCCTTCCCATTGAATAGGATGTGTTTGCTTGTCAGAGCCCCCTACCCCCTTCCTTGTGTATTGTCACTCAAGCCGTTTGGGTTACGCCATTGCACCAGCTCCCCCATTCCTCTCAACACACAAGCACACTCATGCACATCCACTCTCTCAATCCATACTGCAGCGATCATTAGCTAACCACTCTCTAATTCTCCGGTAAGTATAGCTCTCAATTCCATATGCTTTGGCCAATGGAGCTAGTGGAGGACTGTCAATTTTTATCAACTTTTTATTTGTGCGACCTGTTTTGTTACCTGTGGTTTAAAAAATATATATTTTACAGCTCTTTATTTTAGCTGTCTTTATAATTTGAATGAGAAGTCAGACGTTATAAACTGCTTTGCCACTGTTAGTGAAAGTCTGACACACTTACCAAATACAAGATGTCTTTTGTAGGTATGTTGAATGCCCATATATTCCACAGTGTCATTAATCTGTTTTACTGTGTCTGTTGTCAGTTTTAATCTTTGTATGAAGTAGACCCTAATGGAAAACTTAAAAGCTGATTCTATAAAGCCTAGGATTTGAATGTTTATGGCCAACAAAAGAGACATTCCGCATCACAGTCAGCAGGAGTTTAAACTGTATGGTCTTTACATGAGTGACATTCAATTCATTCATACAACTCTTAACTTCACAGAAATGGCTAGGTGCTTCCCAGACAAGCCATGTGATTTGTGATGATGTCAATGGAAACTCTGATAATATTCACACTCATTCACACGTATTACATTTGTGAGACACAGCAGGAAGTGCTCTTCATAATTTCATGAACTGAGCAAATGGAGATACGGAACTTACTGTTGTTTTTTCAGTTTAATATGTTTCTTTTTGACTTGTCTATCTTATTTGCGTGGTGTTACATTCTCAGATAAACCGTCGGATCATTTAACATATTTTATCTCAAGAACTTAATATTTGCGCTCAGTTTAAATCCATGTTGTGAATCTTGCCAAAGTTGCAGAGCAGCTTATGCTGGCAACTGCAGTTTTTGTTTCAAAGATGAGTCCAAAGAGATTTTTTTAGTACCATTGAAGTGGAATATAAACTCTTTAATTCAGAGATTGTGAGAATCATATTTATGGAATATACTATTTATGAGAAATGAGTAATTATATTCTGCAAAGTCAGTTTCCGTATCTTGTTTCTTTTTGCCAATTGCCATATGTTCCTACATTTGCTGCCCAACATGTAGCAGATGGCCCCTCTAATTTCTGAAAGTATCATTTATCATATTCAGATCCCACAGAGGCTCTGTTTGTTAATACGAACAGATGAGAAAATAAGTGCTCCATATTGTGAGCGCCCCAAAGAGCTGTACCAGCACTTCTTATCCGGAGTGACTTATCTTTATGTTTGCATGTATGTCTATTTGAGAGACAGACAGACATATGTGCATGTCTTTGTAGTATTTGTAGGTTACAGGGCTGCATCCTCCCCCAGAAGGAGACAGTAATTCTGATAAATGGTGAGACACACTTGCTAAAGAGAGGACCATGATTGAATTGGTCCATTTTGGGTTGAGCTTGTCCTTTCACTTTTGACTTTTAATAATGAATCCGAGCATTCATCTCTTACTATGACATTGAAGCATTGGGGTGTTATGTTATTAAACTAAAAAATGCTCAATATTTAGATAGAAGCTTTGACAGACTTGACAACAGCATCCACTCCTGGACTATATCAAAACAGATTTCCCTATGAGGACATCATAAGACACTTTTTGTCATCTCCTGTTCTGTTAACCTGTAACATCTTTATGTGTTTTTCAACCTCAGACAGCAAGGAGGCTCGTCGAATGGAGAAAGCTAAAGAGGACGGCCTTCTTGCGTCCACCGCCCATGATTCCAGCTACTTTGAGATGCCCACCAAGGAGGGTCACATGGCCAGTAACGGCATACATGAGATTCCCACCAAGGACACAGAGGGCACCGCCGCTCAGAACTCTGCAGGTGAAGTATACATTTTATTTATTCAGATTTATGGTAAATAACACAAGTGTCTTTTAGAGTTTAAAGGGAATGTATGGTTATAGTGTCTGCGTTAACGATCTTTGTAGTTCCTAATTACAGATATTAAAGCACTATTACATTGATTTGTAACATTATTACAATTTCTATATTTATAGTAGCATTTGAGGCCCATCAAGTCGGCATTTGTGATAAATGTTTTATCATCATTTATGGCTCAAAGAAACATTCATTCAATAAACAGAAAACAGGAAGTGGCACTATACTTGTCGAGCACAAACAGCAAAGCAATCATTCTGCAACTGAAGCCATCAGCTGATTTGATCATAGTCGGATAAATATCCATGTATTGTGTATTTACATAATTGTAAGTGCACCACCCAGCACCTCTATATTTAGTTGTACTTACTGACAACAAACCTGCATCGTCTGCTCCACAGCTCAAGGTCACGCCTCCTTCACCATCGAGTTCGACAGCACTTCTCCAGGGAAAGTCACCATCAAAGACCACGTGTCAAAGAGCACACCCGACCAGCACAGATCGCGCTCCAAGAAGAGTGGAGCGGGAAGCGGAGGAGCAGGAGGGAGGGATTTGAGCATGCTGCAAGCTGCTATGATGGCATCGGAGAGCAAGGTAGCCGATTGGCTGGCCCAGAACGACCCCACGCTGGTGCGCGTCGAGTTAACGGAGGACGACAGCAAGAGCATCAAGAGCATCAAGAGCGATGTGCCGGTCTATCTCAAAAGGCTAAAAGGTGGAGGTTGTTTTCTGTTAATAATTCTATGTGTGTGGATTGGGTAAAAGTTTTTGTTGTACCCTTTTCCGTTTCTCTACTTCTTCTTCTTCTTGATCATTACACCTTCTCTCCTTTCTCTCACAAAAGATTCTCATGCACTTTCTCAAATTTCTACATGTCTCTTCCTATACAATGTAAAGACTGGGTTATGCTTTGTTGGCAGTAGTAACCAGACCAGACGATTAGCAGCTTGTAGACAGAAACATTTAAACCCCATATCTACTGCCCTGACATCCAATGACCAGGCTTAGCATGAATAGCAAAGCACGGCCCCCAATACACTTCACTTTTTTACCATTTACAGACGTATTATCCAGTGAGGAGCACATATTCTACATATATACTACTTCATGGCATGCCTGACTACAAGAGCTTTAAATGTGGCTTTTGGTTTGACTCTTTTGCCTTGTCAGTGTGGACATCTGAGTTGTCTCTGTTTACCTCTGTTGGCTTGTTGCTATGTATCCTATGGGTAAGGTTTAATATTGCTATGACTGTAAATTGCATGCTTCTCTGCATTACTTTGTTCTCTTTTACCTGCAAGTAACCAACTGCTCAGTAGGCTCCGGCTGCCAGCGGTTTTGTGAGAACGGGCCAGACTAGGCGAGGCTATGCTGGGCTCTGTACTGAGGCAAGGCTATGGTAGACTACTACATGCTGGTCATGAGTTAATTAAATGGAGGCCAATTTATGATGTTGTTGACATGTGTGGGGGAGGGACCAGCAAACAGGAGCTGATGAAAATGGAAATATGTGAAGCAGGAGAGGAAGGCAGGAAAGCTAATTCATTAGAAGGAGTTAGTACTACATGCATGTCTACTGGCTGACGCCGTGGTCACATGATGTATGATTATGTCGCTAACTGACTGTCTGGGACTTCTAGGCACTGCAGTGTTTCCAATTGAAGCTGTGACTGATTGGTACCTGATGAGTTGTATTTCAGTACCTGAGGGAAGAAATTGGAAAATCTGACAAAACCACGAAATGGGAAGTGATTTTGACATGAGTTAAGGGAGGAAAACCAAGAATAACTGTAACACAGAGAAAAGAAAGGATGAAACGAGGGAGAGGACAAGGTAACAATGGATAGAGGGCAGGTGGACAGCTGGATGGAAAGCTGTCTGTTGATGCCGGCTGTGGCCATGTGCGGTGTGCAAAACAGGTACAGTGGGAAGATGGGCGAGAGGGTGAGGAAGATCCTCGCTGTTACTCTGAGATCAGCATTTGCAGCAATAACAGCAAAGGTGATTGGACAAAGAAAGGCAGGAAGGAGGGGAGGGGGGGGGCTTATTGCCTGGACTGCAGTGAAAACTGAGAAAGGAGGAGAGAACTAGATAGTTGTTATAGTAACAGTGATGCAAATGATGGCAGGGGAAGAGACAATACAGACATACATTTACAAATAGACGACAAAACAAAGTAGCAGCGGACATCTCTTTGTGTCTGTGTGAGTGTGAAGGCTGCAGGAGCGTGTGTGAGAAACGCATTTCAGGGCTGACGGAGGGCGCGTGTGAAGCGTGTGGATTTGTGTGTGTGAAATTCGTCGTGTCTGTGTTTGCTGCGTGTGTGTGTTTGAGACATGCTCAGCGCAGATTCTGCAGACAAGCAGTGTAGCATGTGTGAGGAGAGGCATGTGTGATGTGGCTGAGGGTGTGTTACTAGGCAGAGAGAGAGGCAGAGGTTTAGCAAAGGAAATTGAGAGGAGGCAAAGCTTTTGATTTGTAAGCATCAAGGTGAGTGTTTCTGTTCTTGCTGTAAAGAGCAATGTAGAGGATGCATCTTCATACTGTATGTTATCGCTATCAATGTTGGAAACGTGTTTATTGTTGTAACATCTGAAAAATGGGGCATTTTCTGTGCCAAAAAGATGTGAGTCCGATCAGTGTAAAGCTATAAATGTAGATCTGAAATGTCCTTGAGATTGCATTTTATTGTATTTTATGAGCATTGATATTAATTTGCAGTAGTGGAAAATGCTAAACAGATACACAAGGCTTCAATATTGCGTGTGCATGTTATACTTGTTGTACACTCTTGTACAGCACAACTCTGTATGTTGGGGTTGCATGTTTGCTTGCCTGTGGCTGTGCATGCATGTTAAATAAGTGCATCCTTGTGTTTTGTGTGTGTTTTTTGTGTGTGTGTGTGTGTGTGTGGGTGTGTGTGTGTGTGTGTGTGTGTGTGTGTGTGTGTGTGTGTGTGTG